AGATAGCCCTCGTGTAGCTTTGCGCGAAATTCAAAACAAACAAACCAAGGTTTATTTATTTTCCCTAAAAATGGATGGCAGTTAATCTGATTGAACAACAGATGTTAGACCAAACAAATCTCTCAATTATCATTACTTATCTTGTTTTTAAAAATGACTTATGAATGAGCTGCGACTTTCTATTTCAGGAAGCTCTGAAAGAAAAGGAAGAACACATTGAACAACTTCTCCGGGAACGAGATCTGGAGCGAGCAGAAGTCGCTCGTGCTGCAGCTCAAGTGGATAAGGTATTACTATAGTTAATGACATCTGTAAAGTAATTGTAGTTTTTGAAGATAGGAGCTAAGAAGAAGTAAGAGAGAAATTTTCTTCCGAATGAAAAATATTGCGTGCATGAGAGTTTGAAAACGCATATCTATTGCATCTTTACTCTAATAAAATTGTTTTATTTTACGGTAATATTTCAATAGTAATGATTTTATTTGTTTCACGAAGTCTAAATTTTTTTGAAAAGCTGTACATTAGAATAAGGTTTTCTTTGATAGTGTTATGAGATTTTGTTTGTGTTGCTTTAGGCCGAGCAGAAGTTAACTACATTTAGAATAAGGTTTTCTTTGATAGTGTTATAAGATTTTGTTTGTGTTGCTTTAGGCCGAGCAGAAGTTAACTACATTTAGAATAAGGTTTTCTTTGATAGTGTTATAAGATTTTGTTTGTGTTGCTTTAGGCCGAGCAGAAGTTAACTACATTTAGAATAAGGTTTTCTTTGATAGTGTTATAAGAGTTTGTTTGTGTTGCTTTAGGCCAAGCAGAAGTTAACTACATTTAGAATAAGGTTTTCTTTGATAATATTATAAGATTTTGTTTGTGTTGCTTTAGGCCGAGCAGAAGTTAACTACATTTAGAATAAGGTTTTCTTTGATAATGTTATAAGATTTTGTTTGTGTTGCTTCAGGCCGAGCAGAAGTTAACTGCATTTCAAACAGATCATCAGAGGTTTGCAGAGGAGACTGAAATCAGTGTTATTCAACTAAAGCAGCTTCTTGAAAAGGCTGAGACTGAGAAAAAAGAAGCATTAGTTCAACTAGATGACGAGAAGAGGTAAGTAGTAGTTTATAACTTTATTTGGAATTTACTAAACACGTTCACTACACACACAACAGTTGTTAATAATCAAACCAACGTGTTAGTAAAGTATACAGTGTACTATTTGCAGTTACAGACAGTATTTAAATATAATATTATGCACGCGCTCTGCCCAAGAATGTCTCGTATCATGAAAGAGATCAGAATTTTGACTAATGATTTCACCTTAGAAGCTGGTGGTTTTTTTCTTCCACATTTGGGCAACTTAAAATGTTTCATTTTGCAAAACTTATCAGCAAATCTGTGTATGTTCCAGGAAAGTTGAAGATTTACAGTTCAGAATAGAAGAGGAATCAATAAATAAGGTGGACTTGGAGGTAAGTTCACAGTGATATATTTTGGCTTGTGATTTTAAGTATATGTGAAACCAAACGCAAGAGTTCATATTATATTTTATTTGGAGTACGAAACAAAAGACTGATGATGCAGCTTATAATGATGCTTGTTATTAAAAACTACAGTACAAGCTTCTGTTTCGGCTTTATCTGTGTTGAAATCTTAGTGGGGTGTTTTTTAAACAGATACATGTTGAAATCTTAGTGCGGTGTTTTTAAACAGATACATGTCAAAATCTTAATGTGGTGTTTTTAAACAGATACATGTTGAAATCTTAGTGGGGTGTTTTTAAACGGATACATGTTGAAATCTTAGTGGGGTGTTTTTAAACAGATACATGTTGAAATCTTAGTGGGGTGTTTTTAAACGGATACATGTTGAAATCTTAGTGGGTGTTTTTAAACAGATACATGTTGAAATCTTAGTGGGGTGTTTTTAAACGGATACATGTTGAAATCTTAGTGGGGTGTT